CCAAGCCTAATCACCCCTAACCACCTCTGCCTGCCAGCCTGATCGCCCCAACTGCCCACCCCTGCTGGCCTGGTCGCCCCCAACTGCCCCTTCCCTGCTGGCCTGGTCACCCCCAACTGCCCCCTTGCCAGCCTGGTCGCCCTCAACTGCTACCCACCGCTGGCCTGGTCACCCCCAACTGCTCCCCCTGCCAGCCTGGTCGCCCCATGCAGCCTGCTGTTCAGTCGTTTGGTCGTCCTTCACTAACCCCCCTGCCGGCCTGGTCACCCTATGCAGCCTGCTGTTCAGTCGTTTGGTTGTCCCTCACTAACCCCCCTGCCAGCCTTGTAGCCCCATGCAGCCTGCTGTTCGGTCATTACTGTTACTGTGACAGCGCCTGGACAATTTGCATATTCCTCTATTATTAGTATAGATTTCCAGAGGATTCCCTCACTCTCCTTCTCAGACCTCTCTAATATAGGGATCACTATTTTAACTTCCATTACCATTTGATTCATTTTGACTCTTCTTTACCCTCCAATTAATGGAACCATACGGTATGTATTCTTTTGTGTCTGCCTTTTTTGTTTAACAGAATGTCATTGAGGTTTCTTCATGTTGTTACATGTATCAATAGTTTTTATCATTTTTTTTATTGCTGGGAGTGTTCTGTGATATGTTTTCAGTATCGACATTTGTTCATTTTTATGCTGAAAGCAAACATGAGGTTTCTAGGACAGAGATCAGAGTTATACCTTTTTCATCTCATGGCACACATAAACTAATTACTAAAATCCTGTGGCACACCAAAATTTTTTTTTGCCAATCTGACAAAAAATAGGTATAATTTTGATTCAGTCACACCAGACAACTATTGTGTTGGATGTTGTCATTTTTTTTTTTTGTATTTCACAAATGAAAGGAAAAGAGGTCAGTGACTGACTAAGTAGGTATTGCATGTTTTAAAAATTCTCGCAGCACGCCAGTGCAGCACACCAGTTGAGAACTGCTGACATGCAGCAGTAACTGTGTCAGTTCTCCAGGCTCCATTCTTTTCTCTGTGATGTGATGAGAGCCACGTGGATGCTGTGCATGCACCACAGCCGAGGAAGCCCCAAATCAGGAATATGGAAGTTTTTACAGGCCACTCACTGCTTAGCTGCCACTCTCACTTTCTGAGAAAGGGAGGGAAACTGTCTCCCTAATGTCAACAAGTACTTTGGAAAATCAATGAATTCTCATCGCAGGAAGGCAAAGGGGAAAGTCCCTGCCCTGGATTGCAAACATTTGGCTTTGGGGAAGGTTAGTTTTATTATCCTTTGAGTGGGAACATATGACCCAAGTCTAACTCCCTTGCAAATGTGAGGAGCAAGGGAGTCTGGGGAAGACTTGTTATAAAGTTACAGTAAGAAAATGTGATAGACTAAAAGATTAATGAAACAATAGATAGAGTCCGGCATTTATGGACGTTAGGTAAATGACAAAGGGGGTATTTTAGATTAGAGGGCAAAGAATGGGATTTTCAGTGAATTATGGAAAATTGGGTATTTACCTTATTTCACACCACATACAAAAATAAGGTGCATTTAAGAGTTGTTATGGGTTAAACGATGTCCCCTCTCCCTCAAGTTCATATGCTGAGGTCCTAACTCCCAGTTGCTCAGAAAGTGACCTTATTTGGAAATAGAGTTGTTGCAGATGTAATTAGTTAAGTTAGGATGAGGTTATACTGGAGTAGAGTGGGTCTATAATCCATATAACTCGTGTCCTTAAAAAAAGGAAAAATTTGGATGCAAACATGCACATGGGGAGAATGCCATGTGAACAGAAAGGCAGAGATTAGGGTCATGCATCTACAAGCCCAGGAACACAAAGATTGCCAATAAGCACCAGAAGCTAGGGAGAGGCATGGAACAGAGTTCCCCTCACAGCCCTCAGAGGGAACCAGCCCTGCCAACACCCTGACTTCAAATCTCCGGCCTCCAGAACTGTGAGAAAATAAATCCCTGTCAGTTAAGCCACTTCGTTATGGCACCCCTAACACACCGATTCAGGAACTAAATGTGAAGGCAAAACTAGAACAATTTTAGAAGACTATATGTATAGAATATTCTCTCTATATTCTGGATACTAGGCAAATTTTTAAGAAAAAATTTTTAAAAAATATTTTTTATTGATTTCAGAGAGGAAGGGAGAGGAAGAGAGAGATAGAAACATCAATGATGAGAGAGAATCATTGATCAGCTGCCTCCTGCACGCCCCACACTGGGGATCGAGCCAGCAACCCGGGCATGTGCCCTTGACCAGAATCGAACCTGGGACCCTTCAGTCTGCAGGCTGACACTCTATCCACTGAGCCAAACCACTAGGGCAAGAGCATTTTTATTTTTTTAAAATATATTTTATTGATTTTTTACAGAGAGGAAGGGAGAGGGATAGAAAGTTAGAAACATCGATGAGAGAGAAACATCAATCAGCTGCCTCCTGCACACTCCCCACTGGGGATGTGCCCGCAACCAAGGTACATGCCCTTGACCGGAATTGAACCTGGGACCCCTGAGTCCGCAGGCCGATGCTCTATCCACTGAGCCAAACGGGTTAGGGCAA